GATTTATTAATTAAAAAAAATCTATTTTTGGGTCAATTAAGAAAGTCAACCCAAATATTGTAGACTTGGCCCCTGAATATCAATAATTAACTTTACATCCTTGTGATATTAATTTGTGATCATTGCTTAAAAATCCAATTAGGAAAGCTATAAGATGAAGTTGACGCTAGTCAAAGTAATCAAAATCTTCAACATAGCCTTTTCCTCCTTAGCGGCACCATTCCACACCATTTTCTTGCCCCTCCCAAACGTGCTCCCGTTTGAAATTTCTATTAGTGCAATGAAGAATGCTTGTCTACACTACAGAGGCTTAAGTCCTGTTTGATAATTCAATTCAATACTTAAATTTAATGGATTCAAATTTTAACATATTTAGACGTTTTTTATAACTAAAAATTAAATATACGGATTAATTAAATGACACTAAATTTCCTAAATAAAACTTACTCTCAAAAATAAGTGATAAGTTATTCACTTATCATTAAATATAATAGGGAAAATGATCGGTTTCATCCTTCACATTTCACAAAAATATTTTTGTCGTCCCTCACTTTTAAAATGAAGCAATTTCGTCCTTGACATTTAAAAATTAAGATTATTACATCCCTGAACCCAAATTTCAATCTGAATCAAACCACCAATCAACCTGATTACAAATTTTGGGGGTGTAATTGGTAGATCACTTGGTTTACTCAACTTGATATTCATGTAAAATTTAATGAACCTAAAAAGAAAAAATAAAAAATTATAATATAAAAAAGAAAGATTAATTTTTTCTACATTATCATTGTATATACTGACGGTTTTATGTACCACCATATCATTTTAATTTAAGTTTAAACACCAAATTTTATATTTATAATACACATTTAGATTCGCAAGCGGATATACTAACGGTGCATGAAAAGATTTATCAAAAAAAAAAAACTCTACTATTCCAAGACAAAGAATGGCCTTTTATGTTATAATTTTTATTTTTTTGGTTTAATAAATGCCATGTGAATACGATGAAGTTGACCGAATGATCTATCAATTTTATTTTCCAAATTTATTACTGGGTTATTGGATGGTTTGATTCAGATTGAAAATTAGGTTCAGGGATGTAACAGCTTTAATTTTTAAATGTCAGGGACGAATTTGCTTCATTTTAAAAGTGAGGGACGAAAAGAATATTTTTGCGAAATGTGAGGGATGAAACAGGTCATTTTCCCAATATAATATGCATTCAAATATATTAGTTTTAATACTTAACAATTCAATAATTTAATGAATTCAAATTACAGATTTCAAATTTCAGTTTTCATACTTCAGATTTATCAAACGCATCCTTAATTCCCAAGCAAAATAAAAGAATCTTCACCAACTTGACAATATCCTTGTCTTTCTCCTCCTTTTTAATAATCTATGTATAACATTGTTTTTAATTTTATCGCACCGTTGTTATTCCACTTCATTAGCTTAAACATTCGTACCTTTATTTCTCAAGTACAGGTTATCGCCCTTATAAAGACTTCACCATTGAGAAATTATTTCAATAATGTTGGGAAAGAGCTAAGCAAACAACTTGTGATGAAAAGTTAAAGAAATGGCATCAAACGTGAACTATATTCACTTTTTTTTATGGCCATACTTGTCCTTTATTAGTGCGCAAGCAAAGGACGATACAGATAAGGTAAAGTTTATTTCTCTAAAATGCACTTATGTAACAAATCCGATCGAACATTAGAAATGTCGTTTCAAAAAATGTTCAGAGTAGATGTTGGTTGGCTTTCTGCAATAATGGAAGTAGTGTTCCAAAATAACTGGTTAAGTTGCAGCTTTCTTCACTATGTACCCCGGGGACTAACTGGTGTTAGAGATTGGGAAAAGGTAACACGTTAATGAAATTACTTCAAAACTTCTCTTGCCAAAACGAAACTTCATAACTTCAGAAATGGCTAGTAACTTGTTAATTCGTATACTGTGCTTATATGCAGTTGACAAGCAATATTCATAGTAAAAAGTTGGTTAATATATAGCGACTTGTCGATTATTGCACCTAGGATTTTCCCATTTAAGTTACTATTGTCGTTCATATTGGTCTCTGAATTAAAAGAACTATAAGGTGTAAAGTGATCATAATGGCTACTTTCTTCAGGGTAAACTACAATTTGCCTATAAATTTTAGGGAAAAATATAATTTTGATCTCAATGTTTAGCTTGTGTGCTAAATTGGTCTCTAATTTTTTTGCTTCAAAGGTTCTGATTTTGAGCAACTATAAGGCAACGAATGAAAACTCAGAGTCAGTAACAATAAAAATCAAATTGGTGTTATTGAAAAGTTTTAACTTTGCATTTTTTATCAGTAGAGTTTGGAGTTAAGATCAACAAGGTCCCTTAGAACTTATAATTAAAATTTTAAATGACATTAAATGTAACTTAAATCAAATATATAATATGACAAATGTGTTCCCTAATACAATGCTATCCTTTAATTTATAGAGCATCTCTTTGTTAAATTAGTTACAATTGAATAATAGGATATAGATATTACTAGATAAACTAAGAATTAGTGAAAGGTAGAGGAGAATTGTGATTTTATATGTAACTTTATTCTAACCACTATTAGACAAATTCTTGCATGATTATGTTGATGTAGGCTTCAAATGGTAGTAATTAAGAAGTGTGACTAAAATAACTAGTCAAACTACGTACTAATATAAAGAGCTTTTAGCAATTTTTGAAAAAAAAAATCCTTTTCTTTAATTCTTGTCATTTGTTTCTATCAAAATCTAACATTGCAATGATAAAATTTTAAACTAATTATTTTTTTTTAAAAGAAATTTTGTTGATATAGCAATAAACACATATACCAAGGGCTCGTAGAGTTACTAGTCCCTGCAAAACAATTCATAAGAAACTATACAATCAATATATTAGAATTCTATATACAGCACATCAACTAAAGATACACTGGTCAAAGCTCCAAGTTAAGCTAAGTTCCCAGTTCTCCTTGCTTTTCCTTACACCCTTCCAGTTCATAGCCATAGTATCAATCTCTGAAATAATCATTTTCACAATTTGATCACAATTTTGATACATACTATTGAATATCTTCCGATTTCTAGCCCACCAAATATAGTACACTGTAGCAGCCAATGATAATCTCACTAACTTGAGACCAACTTTGCAAGAGAGAAGAAACATATGAGAAATCAGTGGCAAGAGTAAATGAACAAAAACATGAAAAAGAAGTAAAAGAAGTTTAATTAGCTTTTCAATGATTTTAATTATTAGCATTAGTAGCACACATCTAACACGATTTCAATCTACTTCTAATCTCATTTCATCATATGGCCCTTGACCACAATATTTGAAATTTAACGAATTATAAGAATTTGAAGTCCAAACACTGGGAACAAAAAAAATGCAAAGTCCAAACTATAGATTGATGGCAATTTGATTTTTACCACTAGTCATTGTTTAATTTTGGTCAATAATCCTAAATTTGCCTAAAATACAAATTTTCACAACATTTTTTTTATCAAAAAATTTGAGACTAGTTTAGCACATAAGTCAAACATTGGGAATGAAAACTATATTGTATGGCACACTAAAGGAATTAAAACCCCAATTTCGGATCCTTTCTTCACAATTATTTATTGTAAAAAAATCCGTTTAACTTCGAACAATTTTAACTTCGGCATTCTAGTGACCAGTTGATATTTCCTAACTTACCCATACTTCTTTATAATTGTTTAATTCTGTCTAGCTCTGGTACCATGATCATGTATTGACATAATTTTGTTGCATGTAAATTCAACAGAGTTTTGCCCAGAAAAAGGCTAAAAGATACTGTTGTTTTTTCCTTCATGGATCTGACATGCGTCCAAATCCTCCTTCGGTTTTGATCAGCGCTAATACTTAATGACTGCAGATGCTATTTTCTTTTAAACTTTGTATTTTTATACAAAAGGGAGGTTTTGAATCCAGAATCTCGTACTTGCAATTTCTCTCACATTACTATGCAACCCAATCTCCTCCACGATTATGTTAATCATGATTTGTCCAAAATTAGTTTTTGGGGTAGAGGACTGATAAAAATTTGGGACAATAAAAGATTCATAATAATTGATATAATTTAAGAGGATAGAACGAAAGAAGACGTGGAATTGGTTATAATATTTACTATTGATTGTCAAGATAAAATAAAAATAAATAAATAAATCAAGTTGTCACTATTAGAGAATCAATAACTAATCGAGTCGTTATCTCTAAAAAGCCTAAAATACTAGCTTTCACTTTTTTCTTTGTTTTCTTCTTCATTCATGCCACTACTCTGTCCCACCTTGTCATGTTTTTTCCCCCCAACTAGCCTTATATTTGGCACCTTGTCATGTTCTTTTGCTTGTCGATTTCTCCATTCCGCTAAGAAGCATCTTGTATGACAACAAAAGCATAATTAACAACACAGAAAAATGGACAGGGAACCTAATTTGCAGGTTTTAAAGGAATTTATAACTAGTAAACATCTTTGTTTTGACACCAAAATCCAAATGACATATGCATATGGATTAGACTTCTCTCCATTAGCCTCTTGCTCTCTCTCCCCATTATCCCTCAATAGACTATTAGATTATTGCTACATGGATTCATTATTTTATCGCTACATCATTTCATTAGTCATCAAAGGCTTGCATTCTTTCTCACCAAATAGCCTTCTAGCTCTACTTAACATTGAAAAGAAAAAAAAGAATTCCATAAATAATTAAATCTCTTACCACATCATCTTATTCAATAATCCTATCACATAACACCCCACATCCAAACTAATAAGAACTACTGAACTTTAACACGTTATACTGACATGTGAATTGAAATGGCGTGAAGCTCCTTGGTGTAAGTTAAAACTTAAATCCATCCCTTAATTAACCGTTGAATTTTTCCATTTCTCAGCAATATTTCGTTCAATGAGTATTTTGAAATTTGCAATATTTCAAAACTTGCCATTTATCAGCTTGCAGTACTTTTTCACACTTCACAGAGGCCTACCTTCCAAGCTTCCATCTATAAATACAACTAATAACCCGCAAGAATATCGCATGTATCCACTTTAAGAAGTTTTCAGCTTTGTCTTCAACGGATTTAAGCTCAGGTTTAGCAATGCCAACAAATGATGTAAAGCTTCTTGGTGCTCCTGCAAGCCAATACGTGAACCGGGTTCAGTTTGCCCTCAATCTAAAATCGATAGACTATGAATTCATCCCACAGAATATGAGAGAAAAAAGTGAGCTCCTTCTTAAATCTAATCCTGTTCACAAGAACATCCCAGTACTCCTCCATGGTGATAAGCCCATATGTGACTCACTGGTGATTGTGCAGTACATTGATGAGTTCTGGTTTGATGGTCCCTCTATCCTTCCTTCTGATCCCTACGACCGTGCCATAGCCCGCTTTTGGGCAGCTTACATTGATGACAAGGTACTAATATACCATTTGCTGCTTGATCAATCTTTTTCCACTTGACAAGGCACTAGCATATCCTCGGGGATGGGGGTAGGGATGGTTGCTAGTTCGTACATTTCAATAAATAAACCTGTTTGTTCAAAATGTAAATCTAGTCGAACATAATATAAATATAGAATACCTTTTTCTATATTAGTCCCACACATGGTATTAAAATCGATGTGCATCTTGTGATCTCGACTGCAAAATTTTTTTTTAATGCAATCAAGGTGATTAACATTTCATGAATGGTTTGTACTACAAACGTTCCCCTAATTCTGTATCTTTATTCAACACTGTGCATGTGAAGTAGCAGGATTCAGTGACGGACTAAGGGCACAGCGATGTACTGAAAGCATGCATAATTTGGTAGCTAAAATTTGTCCACCAACACAAAAAGAATTTAAATGTAAGATTCAGATAATGTCGAGTAATTTTGATATAACTTCATAATTGGGTCTCCATGAACAATAATTATATAAAATTGTAAAATTAGCTTGTGATAATTACTATATATATATATATATATATATATATAGCGTTTTCACTGGCCGTTATTCCTGCCTGTCCCTGTTCCGTTACTAATGTGTTTAATTGGTATGCAGTGGATTCCATTTTTCAAGGAGCTTACAACTGCAAAAGACGAGGAGTCAAAAACAGCATTGGTGGAGAAAATATTAGAAGGTGTAAAACTCTTTGAGGATGTATTCGTGAAGGCCAGCAAAGGGAAGTGCTTCTTTGGTGGAGAAACAATAAGTTTTCTTGATATCGTTCTGGGCTGCTACTTGGGATGGCTAAAGGCTTGGGGAATTCAGTTAGATGTGAATTTTCTTGATGAATCCAAGACACCTGCCCTAGTGGGATGGGCTGAAAGGTTTTCCTCGGACAAAGCTATTCATGGTATTATACCAGAGACTGAGGAACTTTTTAGAATTCTCCAAATCATCCTAGCTAGGGCAGCAGATGCTGCTTCAAAGTGAAAAAGTACCATTATTCATTTACTCAATGGATGATGGCATCATCGGTTGTCAACTTATTATTATTATTAGTATTATTATTTTCTGTGTGCTGTGTGGCAATAGTAGTAAACTTGTAATGGGAAAGCCTTCTTTACCAAAAGGGAAATTCTCATTTTAGTTCTTTGCATTCCAATTTCATATCGTGTTATTTGTATAAAACAAGTATCATGTGAGACATTCCATTTGAAGAGTAAATTCATGTTACTTGTTTCATAGGATTGTTATTTGAATACAGATCCTTTTGTCGTTCCTATTTCAGATAGACATTACATTGAGAAATTTCCAATTTTGTGATGAATTTTAAAAAAATTCTACAAAAGAGGTGATTTTGATGAGGCATTCCGTAGGGGGGTCTTCGCATTTGGGGAATGCGAGCTCAGCTCTATTGAGCTCGCATTCGCGAAATGCGAGGTCTACTTATTGAGCTCTCCACTGCACCTCTCTGTTGCATCTGCTGCTACTGCCGCAACTATGCTGCCTTTATGGCTGGGGGTCCATAAACTAAAGAAGCGGTCCTTGGTTTCTTTTTTTTTTTTTTCTCTCTCTTTTATCGTGGCTGGGGGTCTTCTCCTCTTGTTAATAATATAATATGACTTTTAATGTCGAGTGGTAAAAGGAAAAGGGCTCAAAGGCTCTCAAGAGTTGCAAGTAGTAATCCTGCTAAGGATGATGGCCCAACTAAAAGGTGAAAACCAAATGGTTATGGTTATCATGGTTATTGTAATAGTAGTAGGAGTAAGTACTATCAAAAATAAAATAAAATTATGGATTATTTTTGTTTGTTTTTTGGTGTAAGCTTTATAAGAGTTGGTGACTGAAGAACACAACAGTAGCGTGGCTGGATCATGAGAAGATTGTACAGGTTTTTGAAATGTTACTGCTGCCTGCCTCCTCTCTGCCCTCTCTTCTTGCTTTTACTTTTCTTCTCTGTCTCTGTTACTTTACCTGTACCATACCTCCCCCCGCTATTACTATTCCTACTACAGTATTTCCTATTGAGCTTTCTTGGTATACAGTGAGCTCGCATTCGCGGAATGCGAGCTCACTGACCTCGCATTCGCGGAATGCGAAGACCCCATTTGTATAGAATAACCTTCAAAAATCGCCCCAGTTGTAGAATGACTTTTTTTTTTCATCACAAATTAAGAATTCACCCACATTACATTTGTATACAGATCCTTATGTTGTTAAATTCCACTTAGGATGAGGCGTAACCGAACTCTCTTTTGACACACCTTTCCTTATTTTTTTTAGACTCCATTCGCTTATTTATACAATCTAAAATTTTGTGTTCACTGTTAAAGTCATCACTAACTTATGGCAACATCTGGGCCACATTCGTTTATGAATTTACATTTCCTAGGATTTTGTTTCTTTCTTCATTATCGTAGTAGTTTGTCAAAAGAATTGGTAGAGGTCTATTTTTGCAACATGAAAATGGGAAGTTTTGACTACTAAATTAACGAGCTTAGTTGTTAAATGAGTATTTGAATAGATATCTCAAGAGTGAGACTTCGATAAAATTAGATCAAATGTTCTCAAGATGAGGTTTAATTTAATAGTGTCTAGTATAAGTTTATTTTGTGATGTTATTATATACACTGAGAATGTAATAAAATTGTTAGTTTGGCTCCATTATTAGTGGATTTAATCCATTAATTTGCTATTAGAGCCCACTACAATCCAACAATTTGGTATCGAGTCTATTTGTCATGGACTCGCTTTTAATAAAATCTTTATTTTGCAAATAAACCTATAAATTGTCTTCTATGGCTGACAATCAAATGTATGTGCGCAGCGAAAAGACAATCATGCTCTCATTGGTGAAAAATGTCACATAACCCATTTTATTTTATTTTTCATTATGTTTAAATTCATTTATCTGGCTTCCAATCCTATTCTGATGACAAGAATTTCCTGTCATGTTTACAATTAAATACATAGTTATTTACTTATCAAAAAGCATATATTTAGTAAATCTAATTTAAGTATAAATGATTTGAGTAGTTTAAATAGTATCAGTTAAAACATTAAGCAGTTGTTAATAAACATAAAATGTACATAAATTATTTTCACTATCCATACATTTTGAATTCATTATGATATTTAAGATAGTTAATCATTTTTCATTGGAAAAATAATATTAGATACATATAATTGGGTGTGAAAAGAAGTTAATAAGAATAAAGAAGAAAGAAAGAAGAAAAACGAGATTAAAATCATTTTAATAAATATTTAGTTTCTATATCTATTAACTAATAATGCATAATATGGTTGTGTTAATAGAATAGAATGTTTTTCATAAAGAATAACAGTATATATTTGATCATGAGAAGAAGTTTATTAGCACATTGTTGTCAAAATTTGTACGTCGCAATAGGACCGGAAAAGGAGAAAAAAGAAAGTAAACGTATTTAGGGAAAAAAAAGTAGAAAAAATGAACAAGAAAAAGGCTCGTGACAATCTTCCTCCAATAAGGGCATAATTGTCTTTTTGCTACTAGCAGATGTTTTACTTTTAGTCATTCAAGAGCAATTTGTAGGCAATGACTAATTAATGTTAAGTACGTTCAATGCGTGTAAGCATTTTATTCATGATTCTTTTTTCTACCTCTCACTCCTTCCCATATCTTTTCCATCCCTAATTGCCAGATCCACCCTTTCCACTCCCAACTATCAGATTCAGGATTTAAATCATATACCTGATTGTGGGAAAAGATCTAAAAATCCTCCCCTAATCACTAGATTTTATTCATGATTGATTACTATGTGGTTGAACATAAACTTAAAAATCCTCTTTCCTCATTGCAATTAATGATAAAATCTTTCGGGATGAACTGAGTATTAAAATAACACATTTAATGGTTCCTTTTTTATGCCTTAACAAAAAATATTTAAATGCTTTCTTTATGTTCTCAATGACACCCCGTGTTTTCAAATACAGACGCACTCGCTTATATTATTCCTTTGCATCTAATCAATTTATCTATTTTTCATTTTTTCTAAAATAGCTTTTCTAGCCAGTGCCCTTAGGAGTACCTCGAAATGCATATTCTCCCAGCCATATTTACATAAAACTGACTCTATTATTTGTCCTCCTTTGATTTGGACACTTTACTGGTTTAACCTGAGCTATTAATGATTTCTCCGGGACTGTCGTAGATTTGGCTACGGATCTTTATGTTACACCCAAAAGTGTAACAGTCCTTATACACACCCAAATATATATAGTGACATTTGTCATCCTCCTTAAACTAACAAATAAAACTTGTTTTCACCCAGGTGACCATTAGTTTTCTTCTCCATCCACAAAAGTTTCTTCTCCCTCTTTTCTTCCAAATCCCCAAACCCAACTTCATAACTATATTGATGAATAAGTGAAAACCCCAAATCCCTCTTCTCTCTAATGGAAATCTCCCTCTGCTCTCTCATAATAAGATCTCACAAGAAATTATTTCAAAACTGAAGCTATGCAGCTTTTGATGAGAAGGATTAATTCATTTGTTAGAGAATAGCAAGAAGGCGTGGGAAGCGAAAGGGGAAGAACCCCAGTTTGCTCTTGTTTTGATCGTTTGACTATTGTGCTTTCTTTGGATCGATAAAGGATAAGATCTTCATCAATGTTTTTAAACAAAAATGAACTGGAAGAGTTTTTGGTTTGTGGTTTGATCAATTCAACCCGATTCAAAGGTTTAATTATTTATTTTTTAATATCAAATAATGTGAATAAAGCTGAAATATTTATTCTAAAAAATAAAAAAAAAGTAAGAAACTCCAATTGAATCACCCTGTTTTACCAGTTTTATCGGTCCAATCGGTTTTTGACCGATTTAATTAACCTTTTGGATCAATTATTGAACCGATTGAAGACATTGGCCGATTTGTGGTTTGACCAGTCGAACTGGCCAATTTGATCCAGTTTTCAAAACATTGGTCTTCGTTAGTGGATTAAGGACTGATAGTTGCTTGAGTTAGTAAAAGCAAAACTTAACAAGAAGCCATATTTGATAACTTTAAAAATTGACAAATGTCATTATTTCACTATTTTAGAGTGTGTAATAGAAGTGTTACACTTCTATGTGTAACAGAAGACCTCTTGCTTGTAGATATAGACTAATTGTCGATTTGTGTAAGTCGGCTCAAATGATAAGATATATTAAAGAAATTATTGGATGGAAATGATTGAGGTAGGTATGCTCTCTATAAATATAAATTGCAACCCAATAATTAATGAAGGTAGTCAACTATGCTATGTAATCTGCATCTCTAACATTAAAAAGTTGACACGTTATTTCAGTCATTATCTAAGAAAAATTTCAAGTTGCCCACTTGACTCTGCATTTCAATTGCATACGGCAACGCGAGTTGATTTTGGATTTTTTTTTTTTAAACAAGTGCACTTCGAGTAAAATGGTACCAAGAATTTAGGCTTCTACTTCTCTGGTGGAGATGAATGACGAAGCTGTCAAAAATTTCAAAACATGTCAATTCTAAAATCACAGCATCAAACAAATATTCTGATTCTGATTCTCACTCCTATTCTGATTCTGATTCTTATAATAATGCACGCACAGATCTCATACAAGATATAGGTTACTACAATCATCTTTTCAGGACCATACATTAATCAGACTTGTGGATATGAAACCAGAATAAAACTTCTTACAGGAAATACATGACAATCAACCAAACGCTACAGATGTGACCCTCTTGGTTAAATGAGCCAAGAACTCATAGACGTAGCAATTATTTAGTACATCAACTTTAGGATGTTCACATACATACAATTGAAATGGCACTACCACAACATAGACCTTCTTCAAACACCACAGAAATCTTTGAGGATGTTTTGTGATTTCCGTCCTTGGTCAGTGGCGTAAAAGTTGAGCAAATCTATATGGACAAATGGTTTGAACTGCAGTGGCTTTTCATCATTAACTAATTCTTCTGGTACTTGCACCATCTTGCTGAGGAATGAGAATAAGGCTATAGTGTACCTTGTTTCTTTTCCATTGGCGTCCATGGTTACTTTGTGGTTGGAAGAAAGCACTCTATCATTACTCCAAGCCTAATCCAAGGCCGAAAACGTTAGAATTTACACGTTTACTTTGACATGCAAACGCTGAATTGTTTTTTTAATACTTCCACTTCTTCCTACGCTTTTTTCACCCACAACTGTCAAGTATAAAATTCAAACCTACTATACGTGTGATTTTTGTGTGTTTGGCATATCTGCAGATTAATTTGTTGACACTAGGGAGTGAAAATTTTCAGTATACACAACGGTATTAGATTTCTTTGACTTGTCTAGCTAAGTGAATGTCTACTTTTCTTTAATATTAGGCCTTTTCTATCCTATATCCCAAAGCCATTGAATAGACACACAAAAGAGGGAGTGGACCCACAATAGAAATACTAATAACACATCACCAACTCCTTAAATTCAGGATACTTTGGCAATGACAATGTGAACTTTTGCAAACAAATTAAACCAGGCCCACTTCTTATTCTCTGCCCTCAGAGCAAAAAAATAGAAGAATCCAGCTTAGTAATAAGCACAAAGAAGTGTCTCTAGTTTGATTCATGCAACAAAAAACCTTTCTACTGTCACACTTTGTAAGCAACATAAGCTCAAGCTCTTATGCATAGTGTTCACTTTGTTCCCTAGAACTTGTGAGTAAATCAATTTTCATGGTTGAGAGACAAAATTATTTATTTATCTTCCCATTTTGTCCTATTGTGATCTTAATGCAATAAATATATGGCTCATGCATTTTAGCAAATGACTTGTTCGCAATTATCAAACCTGGCAGGCATCCCCGGCCATCACAACAAAGGATTTTTGAGGAAAATCAACTTTGATCCATTCATCATCCCTTGTCCTTATTTCCAAGCCAGAAATGTGGTTCTGATAAAGGATGGTCAAAAAGCTCTTATCAGTATGAGAAGGAAAAGCCATGGTGGTCTCATTCGCTTCTGGGGCTCTGTACTTAAGGAACCGAAGAAGATATCTGGTCGAGTCTATGTGAGAATCGCTGTATTTCTCAACACCATAGCTTTCGAACAGCATTTTTATTACCATTTCATCTAACTTCGCCACTGTCTTTGCAAATGAAAATGAACTTTCACTGAAAATTTTTTGATGCAAAAGAAAACAGGTAAGAGCAACCAAAAGGAACTAGAATTGAAGGTAACGAGAATCATAAATCAAACATAAATAAATTGAAAAGAAAAAGTACTTACTTTAAAATGTTATCTATCCCAAGCACTACAGATATATGATACTTGTTAAAAGACAAAAAAAAAAAAAAAAACCACCTGAAAGATTTGTTTCCTTTGGGCCACATGAGATTAGTGAAGCTTTGTACTCCATCAAGAGTGGTGGCATAATCAATCCCTAAGCCTTCATGGAGTGGAACAAAGGGAATTTGGCCAATGTAGCCGTGGTAAGGTTTTTCATTGATATTTTGGACTTTGAGTTCGGTCGGGAGGTCAAATAAATCATCAGCTGCTTGAAAGATGGCCTTATCAAGTTCGGGAGAAACTTTGTTGTACAAAGCTATAAAGCAGCCGTGGTTTTCGAGGGCACGCTGGATATCGTTGCATGCCGATGCCCAAGAGCTTGAACCCGGCTTCAGTTCTTCGTTTGTGAAGTCCACAACAAGAAGCTTTCTTGGTGCTGGGGAACCCATAGTTTTACTTTGTTGATTGATTACGATTAAGAAATTGTATGGGGGCAACTTTTGGCAATGATTAGTGTGTTTGAGTGGGTTTCTATAGGGGATTTGGTTTAGATATACTGTTACGACATCGTGAGCGCTTTTTTGGCACTCAACTACTTCTTTTGTTTTGCATTTACTAAATTTGTCTATGATTCTCCATAAGTCACCATCGTGGAATCAATATATAATACAAATTACAATTCATTCAAATTACAATCAACCCTCACACTTGTGAGACCTATATCCAACCCCTTTGGATCTTGGCCTTCGAGTTTAACCCCTAAATTAAAACTTCATTGGTGTGATAGGTATTTTTTTCACTCAAGTGTTTCATAGTTTTGGCTATATATATATAAGGGAGAAATACAGTTTTAGTCCTCAATTTAAGACAATTGAATACTTTTAGTCTCAAAAGATTAGGCAAAATATATATAAGTCCCTAATGTTTGGCAACTATGCTCTTTTAGTCCATAAAGTTTCGGCAAAATCAAATATGGTCCCTCATGCTTTTAATTTCATGCAGATTTAGGACAATTGACAGATTTTTCTCAATTTTTGATGAAATCTAGTCACATGTAGTCATGAATTCGTTAAATTGGATTTCAAAAAAAATAAAGCAAAGTAGCAGCTTAATTTAAATAATAAGGATAACTCATTTGTGAATCATGGGTAACTAATTAATCAAGAAAACACAAAAAAAAAAGAAATTTTCAAATTATACAAAAAAAATAGGGCATAGGGTTTTTTCTCTTGAGCACTGTAGTGATAGAGAGTGAAAACGAGTATTGGATCGATGAGTTAGCTACTTTGAATGGTTTCAACTTTGTAGTTTAACACATTTCATCTTGTTTTCATCTTTTTTTCCAGAATCATTAACTAGTGGCATGCTAGCATGCAAGTTTTTAGTCCATAATCTTTTTGTTTAAAGTTAGCCCCATTTTTCTTTTTTATTTTTAAGTTGAATTTGATACACACAAGCCTAAATTCGGTAATTGGAGAAAACCTTTCGGTTATCCTAAATCTTCTTCAAGTTAGATAAATTAGGGACCATATTTATTTTTATTGAAACTTCAAGGACTAAAATTGTGCATGTGTTGAACATTAGGGGACCAAATATGTTTTTGTTGAAACTTTAGGTGAACATTAGGGACCAAATAAAACAATGCATGTGTAGAACTATATTTCTCCCGCCCCCGCGTGAATGGTCCAGCGGTAGCACCTCCCACCGGTGACCGAGAGGTCTCAAGTTCGAGTCTCTGCTCTGCTGGATTCCTCTGCGCACATATCGTGCTTGGGCTGGGTTGGGGCGCCTGGTCGGGCCGCAGGGGATTAGTCGGGTCCCGTAAGGATTGACCCGGACACCCCTGTGTAGACAAAAAAAAAAAAAGTAAAACTATATTTCTCCCAATATATAATTTACTAGAAATTGTAACCTAATACATGTATTTATGACGGATAAATTTGCATATGTGTCAAAATTTTTTGGTAGTATAATAAAGATGTTTAATTTTTTATTAATATATAAATTATTAATATATAGCAAAGATGTTTCATGTTTTATTAATATATAAATTATTTATTTTACGTAAGTTTCACCATCCACGTATTTGTTGCGCCCCGCGACCTGTAGGGTGACATGAAGGCCTTAGCTGTGCTCCTTCCCATCGCCCAGCCAATGGTGCAAGTAGCTTAGCGGCACTCAAGCAAGTAGCCGACGCAGGGGACCCGTTGACCAGCGCCAAGTGCCGATTTTTTGCCAGGATGTGGAGGCCAATTATATACTTTTAGGTATTAGTTATCCGGGATGTACAAGTATCTCACCTCACAGTTTCAGTGCAAGTGTTGGAATACTGCTAGCACTAATTAAGGTCATTTTTACAAGGATATATATGGTAAATCTTATATATAGTAACAGTGTATATATATTATCATTATTAGATCCATGATTTATGCATAAAAAATAAATTTCAAATTTAAATTTTATAATGTATATATCATCGATATAGAAAAGATTAATCCATACATATATGTATGTGTGTATGTGAGCTCACTGAAACATCAATCAAGTATTATGTAACGGTTTACACTAAGCAGGTCACATGATCCAATTGTAATTTTTCTGAATACTATTGTAATAGTTCTCTTTGCTATCAATGTAAATGAAGCATGACTTACAAAAAAAAAGCCAAAAGTAATTGAAGCTTGATGTTATTCCACTTTGCCTCTATAACCATTTTGCCACATTTATATTTTATTCACTTCAAATATGATTGCAGTGCACTTTAATTGCCGACGGAAGCAACCAGACAGAGCTCTGCTTAATTGCCCTTAACACAATGGTATGTCATTTAGCTGCACTGGAATCTTATCTTGGAATCATATTGAGAGTCTTCTGAGCAATAATTTTCCTTCTCTTATACTTTTGGTCATCAGTCGTCAACCATTTTAGAATATATTCTTCAGTAGTAGCATCCATGTATAGTATGTAATCTTCAAGTTCTGGCTTACCTAAAATACTTGGACTGGTGCCGACTGGCCTAACACCTTTCCAATATTAAATTTTCATGCACACGACAGTGTTGCAGGATAATCTTTTATAAGATCAGAAAGCTGTCGAACGACAGCTGATGGCAATTGGGTAAGATGAAGACAGGCGTGGGAAAGGCCCACTGCAGTAGTCACGTTTGTCCGATGCGTTGCCGTTGCACCGTCGCCTTGGCCAGAGCACCCCACCGTGTCTATCTGTATGTAAAGAAAATAAGAAAGAGAAAAACGAATGCTCTGTTCTGCTGTACATATTTGCGTCTTTCTTCTAGGTTTTTTGTATGATGTCACAGCTCATTTTCTTTATCTTTTGGGTGCATTAAAGAAAACTGTGATGTCTACTTTGTGATAACCCATAATGGTTAATGCAGAACTTTTCTTTGTTTTAGAGTCGGAGGATGTAACTGCTTGATTCTTTTCCTTTTTTGTTTTGTTGCTAGAAGGGTGTAACTACTTGATGATTTCTATCTCTAAAGTGATATTTGATTAGAAGAAATACAATTTTGGACACCAATGTTTGAGCCATAGCAAAACTTGAATGTTTCAATCGAAACAAATATGGTGCACAAAACCTTTGATTTTAGTCAAAGTAGGACCATTATCGAAAATTCAAAAATGCGTGATGATTAGAATCAAATTCTTTCTAGTCAACAATTTTGACAATCCACTTTTTTGTTTCCAATGTTTTGGTTACTACTCCCTCCGTCCCTTGAAAGTGTCATACTTTCTTTTTTTGACTGTCCCACAATATTTGTCATATTTGATATTTCTAACTAGTTTATATTCTGAAATTTCCCTTATACCCTTCATTAATGATGCATAAAAACAAATGTGATGGAATTGCTTTCTACTTTTTATTTTGACTAGCACATGATTAAAGTTAAAAGTGAAACAAATAAAAAAACTTTTTGGTGGAGTGTATTATGTATAAAAAACACATATCCGCAAACATGATTAAATATATGGGACATAGGGAGTAATAATTATAGTTCCTAAAGTTTCAATTGTAATAGGAAAAATTTTAGGATGAAATGAGATAGCAACTTTTTTGAAACTGCATTAGATGTGTATTAAAAATTCTAATGAAGGAAAACGTGGGAAAAAAAATTAATTAGACTTTTTCTTTTAGTGTTTCATTTATTCATGGCACTAATTTCTCATATGTTCTTCTCCTTTCCATGGTTAGAATTAGTGCTATCATTTGCTTAATCTCATTGTGTGAGATATAGCATAATATATGTAATTGTAGTTTTGCACAATAAATAACTGATTGATAATGAGTTTAGCACAATAAATTTTTATTTATTAATTAATAATTCGGTCAATATTCACAGGACCCTTTAGGTTCTTACACATGACATAACGTCATGAACTCTGTCAGTTCTTGTCCTTTGTTTGAATTCCCCTTCAGCATTCTTGGTGTATTTATTATTTAATCAGTGGCCTCGTTTACAGCTTGAGGAGCTCCTGGTTGAGGCCGACAATGACGTGGAGAGAAGCCCATTATGAAAATACCTCCACGAACTTGTAATACTGTGTACGAACTTGTAAAAAAGGTGTTCTAAGCATACATTATATTTGGAGTATTGTAGATTGTTAAACAATGGACTTATATTTTATTTAAATGGATGTAAGTGTCCCAGAATAGTTGTACCGACAATCATATCCCTACCCTTAACCTGTTTGTTACTAGGGTTGAGGGGAGGAGGGGCAGGAATAACCGTTCCTGCCAGTTTACGATCATGATTTGACCAAAAAAAAATTATAAAATCCAGATTTCAATATGTGTATGACTCACAAAATTTTGTTTTAGAGTTATGGATTATTGAAAATAAGTTAAATCGTGTGCAAACAGAGTTATGCTGTGTGCAAAATATACATAACCTCTCAGAACGGTTGCTTAAACGGTTGCAGAAGCAACCGTTCCAGCCCTGGGTCCGGTTGAGGGCTGGTGCCACACTGCCACTGCAGAGCTTTCACGTTGATGACACGACACAGAGGATCAGAAAGAATCAAAGAAACATTGAGTTGATAAAGGGTATACATATATATATATATATGTTTAGCATGTTTTACATAACCCCCTATGATTTTAAAAACTATATATAAATCCCTCATAATTTGGATTGAAGTGTCAAAGTGACGGGAATGATCATTCGTAACGGAGTCACTTAAAATGTCAAAAATACCCTTATGTAAGGTTGAAAATTATTTATTAACCAAGAGGGGTTGTATATTTTGAAAACCATAAGGGGGTTATATGGTAAAAAATTAAACCATAAGGGGTTATATCGTAAAATATAAAAATAATACAGGATTAGTGTGTCATGTATTTATAAGGGTAATTTCGACATTTTTAGAAGTTCCATTACGAATAACTATTTCCATCACTTTAACACTTTAATCCAAGTTATGAGGGGGTTATGTATAGTTTTTGAAACCATAGGGGGAGTTATGTAAAAAAATGCTAAACCACAGAGGATAAAATATAATTTGCCCATATATATATATATATATATATATATATATATATATATATATATATATATATATAGTTGTCCATTTATATGAAATTGTTTTGGCAGCATAATTTTGCTTTGCCAGTTTCCTTAGCCAGAGACATGACCTTAATGCACTTAATCACTAGACTCTACACCTTGGATCCTTTGATCCAGGTTTGAGAAATTACTTTTGGCGACATAAATTGCTCAATTAATTAATGACTTATCGCATGCAGGTAAAAGTTTATGAAGATGTTAAAATCAGTATTGGCTCCAACCTGAAATAACAGAAAAGCTGGTATTGTATTCAGCTCGCAAATGGCAAAAGGATATTGGATTTGCAAAGTGGAGATCATGAAACAAGTTCAGCCTTCCTATTTCACTTCAGCAAGAAGTAAAGATAGGACCCAAACATGACTGGCTATGATGCATGTATTTAAGGGACTGACTGTTTCATGATTTTAGATATTAAACGTACACTTAAGAGGTTGACTCCACATATAACACAAACTCTTAAATGGAAGAGTTATTCATTTTCTAAATCTTTATTTCTTCTTTATCTAAATTTGCCAGCACATAGCCTTCCTCTTCGCCTTTAAGTTCATTCCTCAGTACCATCAGATTTTCATCAACTTAGGCCTAGGGCTGACAACTTAAACACCACAGTAGTCTCTTATGGGACATTTTGATCGCTTGCCCTCATCAGTGTAGTAATAGTCAATATACTTGTAGTGATCGAATGGCTTAAACTGCAGCGGATGCTCATCATCAACTAGTTCTTCTGGTACATGAACAATCAAGTCTCTGATGAATGTAAATAGGCCGAGTGAATACCTTTCTGCATTTTCGGTCATTATAACCCGATGGTGTGGAGGTTCAATCCTGCCATTAGTCCATGCCTAGGCCATCCACATCACAAAAAGAACTTTAGAGATTAATTAACTCAAACATAAATACTTCAATGATTAGAGTCATAGAATTGATAATGAAATATCCCTCAAACATAAAAGCTACAATGATTAGAGTCATGGTATTGATAATGCGATAATTGTGGTAGCACCTGATATTCCAATTATTAGCCTGCTCGTCTTGTTAGTATTTTCGTAGCATTATCCCTCAGGCTATTCAGCTTTCAGACTTAATTAATTTCATTTATTCGAAATTTCAATTCCCTAAATAAATTTTCGTGTATAATTTCAGATTGTTCGAGAAACCTTTTCCAAATGCTAAATGATTCTTTGTATATATATGTATGGTTGTACGCAACTTAAAAACGGTCAAAGGATCACACATATTTGGATAATCTCAATTTATCTGACAAATTTATACAACTTGTAATAAGATTGTGAGTGTGAGAAATAAACATGTGAATCAGATTAGTCAATATAAGAGATACCACTTTTTCTTTTTCTTTTTTTTCCCCTATAGAGAAGTGAACAAGCCTGCAGATTTGCTTGCTAATTATGCTTGTAGTAGTACAAGAAACTCAATTTTCACTAGCTTTTCTGATTTGCCTAAACTTGTAAAAGGGGATTCCGCCTAAATAAAATGGCTTACCCTTCGTGTGGAATTATTTAGTTTCATCTTGTGTATCTTTGGAGGTTTCAATATATTTCTCCCTCTCTGTAATAACATTTGATTATTAATAAAAGCTGGCCAACTACTTCTCGTGTACGGGGTATTGCCGCTTAAAAAAAATTGAAGGAATATGGACGGAAGATGAAGCTCTGTGGGGCGTGCAACTTACCATGCATACATCACCAGCCATGACGATGAAAGAGAACGGAGATGGATCAATAACCATCCACTCGCCATCCTTAGTTTTGATCTCAAGACCTTTTACTTGATCTTGTTGAAGAATGGACATGAAGCTCTTGTCTGTGTGAGGGACAATTCCCAAATTCCTTTCATTTTCATGCGGTCTTCGGTACTTGATTAACCTAAGAAGGTAGGACATCGACCCAAGGAGACTTTCATAATTCTTCTCTATACCATAAGCCTCTGACACCATTCTCATCACAATTTGATCTAATTCAGCCACAATCTTCGAGTACGAGAATGCAGTTTCACTGTTCAAAAATGAAACAACGAGTATTATAGTTTTACCCAACAAATGCAAATCGAAACAACAATGAAGAATCAAATAATTTCGTATACCTGAAACTACGATTTCCATTGGGCCACAATAGATTGGTGAACTTTTGAACTCCATCAAGAGTAGTGGCATTTTCAATGCCTAAACCTTCATAGAGAGGAATAATAGGCTCTTGTCCAACATAGCCGTGTGAAGGTGTATTAGAAGTGTTTAGGACTTTGATTTCGGTTGGGAGATCAAACAACTCCTCAGATGCACGGAAAATAGCTTCATTAAGTTCCAAAGTGACTTCATCATAAAGGGCTATAAAACAGCCATAGTCTTCTAGCGCACGTACAACAGCTTGCCTTGTAGATGGCCAAAAACTAGAACTTGGATCTAAGTTTTTCTTAGTGAAGTCTATGAGAGGAAGGTAGTTCTGTGTTAGAGAACACATGAAAAGGATCGTTATCCTGTAGCTTGCTTTGCTTGGATTATTGAAGTTTAAGATTGACAAGTGAAAGAGAATCTACGGTTTATGCTAATTGCTAAGAACTATTCTGCTCAGGCATTTACAGGATCTTTTAAGGCCAAAGGGTACCTTGATCTTGGTTTATTGAAGTAGTTAGTAATGGTCATCTATCATATCCTTCAGATGGCAATCAAAAAATTAAAAAAAAAAAGTCGTCATGTTGTGGGGAAAGTTTTATCTTAAATTGCTAGAAAAGAACAAGTTTCGCCTAAACCTGCCTATTCTTTTTGATTGATTCTGATGTAGGGTTTTAAATTCTGTTGTTGTTCATCAATAAGTGGTCCTATAATATGGCGAATCAATTATTAGTGTTAGGTAGAGTGTCTTTCCTAGCAAAAACTCCAAATTGCCTTTCTCGTAGTAGTAACTATGAAGCACTAAGGAGAACTTCTTTCAGGACGAAGTGAGTCACAAATCGTTTAATGCTCCCTTCTTTGCCTTCATAATTGTATTAAATGCTTTTTTCTTTGAATAGAAACTTCATTTGTAAACATTTCCAGACACAAAAACTTTCTTTTTTTTTTTTCAATCAACAAAAGTTTGACAGTTTAACTAGAAGACAAGAAAAAGAAAAATTTTCCTATATAATTTACCATGCAAGCGCAGGCCCACTCATATTTAAAATTCCCCAACATTCAATTACTTTAACTCATCAATTTGATGTCAGTACTCTTTTAGGAATATCTTTTTATAAAAATTTGTGTCTTTAAGACACTGGTTAACACACATTTTTTTAAAATTTATTATGCTTTAGATTTATTTTCCGCTTTCATTTTTATATATATTGTCTATTTAACCATACTATTTCAAAAAAAAAAAAAAAGGTATCACTTGGAGATCCAATTAACTGGCGGCCAAACCTTTTCAAGGATTAACACCTCAATCCTCCGTTATTTAATGAGTGCCTTGGGACATAAGCACCTGTGACAGAAATCCATAAATATCTTATCTGCTACCAGAGGCTCACTGACAATTTATGGTAATTATATATGTATCTAAATAGATTGTCCATTTGTGTAGATGACTTAAATTTTAGCATGTACTAAAGAAATCATTCAATTTTTTGTTCAATATTCACAAGTTGGATATATAAAACACATCAAATCCGCCCAAAGTTGTCATAATTACGATGAGAAACATAACGAATAGTTGACCATGAAACTAAGGAAGAAATATGAAGTCGTTGAGAAGGATGAGAACGAGAGGAGGATCCAAAGGATGAGCCTTCGGACTGTGAGCCCCAGCGCTGCCTATCACGAGGGGGGACGTAGAGGGTAGCCCCGTACCCCACTAGATTAGACATGTTAGAATTTTGATAGGACTTTGATGCTGAATTTTTAGACTAATAATAAATTCCAAATCATTGCATTTTGTCTTCTGTGGTAATGTCAATTGTAGAAGGTTAAACAGATGATTTGTATGAATATTCGGAGGGATGATGATTACAGAAATGGGGCACATATGGTTGTTCTATTCACGGTTCAAAAGTTTTTACTTAGGCAAAAATTCAAAATGTGCCATCCAAATAATGTCACATCACTCTAATGTAATTAATATGTTTTAAGCCATATTTATCGTGTTGACAAAAAATTAAACCAAACTATTTAGACTTTTAATAGTTTTAGAAGTTGATTTGTTATTTGATAACTAGATTAGAATTTGTGTCAAAACTGGCTTAGGAAATATAGTTGATTTAGGAAATATAATAGACTTGTGTTTAGATATTAGTATTGAAATAAATATTATGGTTTTATGTGTTTATTTAAAGACTTGAGTCCGACTTTTGTTATTAAGAGACTTGTGATATTTGAGTTATAAAATTATTTCCTCTCCAGCATAATACTTTGCCTTCCTCTACCCAAAGGGCGATTAGACAATTGAGAGTATGAAACTTTGTTGAAGCTTTGTTGTTATCTCTTTACTTCTCCAACTTATCGTTTCCGGGACTTGTGCTTGTGACCAGTAGGTTTGTGGACATTTATTCCTTCATTTTATGTCTTGGAAAGAACTTCATCCTTTGTTTGATTTATTGATTGATTTGTGAGATTCCAATGTTACTTCCGCTATGCGATTTTTTGTGCTAACATATCGAATACTGTAACTCTCATAAAAAATTGTAAAAATAAATTACAATAATATACAATATGTTCAAAAGGTGTTATAGTGTTTAAAATCTATTAAAAGAGATATTAGAGTACAATTGTTCCTGCCCCTTTACTAATGTTTATAGCTAAACTACTTATGATGCCTTCTGTCTTTTTGGTTTACTTGTACAATCTTATATTGATGATTATCATGACTAACTATAGTTGGATGATCTTCGTAACAACTTATGATGCTATTGTGAGTATGCATACAATACTCCATATAGATCTTCTGGTAACGGTATATAGTTGGATGATGAACAGCATCTATTGGACATCCACTAAAGAAATGCTTTGTTATGTACTATTGATTGCTAAGACATTGAATTGCCACAAATTGTCAAGCAAAATGCCAAAAACTAGAGAGAAATAATCATCCATTAATTGTGACCTATATTGCCTGTCAGTTGAATAAATGAATATTTCAATTTGATTATGGTGCAAACCTAGATGGATTGACATCTCCATTCAAGTCTAAGAGGAAAGAAGAATGGGCTGTGGCAATAACAACTCTGGCAAGGGGTGTGACCCTTGTTACAATTAAATCAATTAAAAAGTTATGCAATTTTCTTGTGTCTCTATAATAAAAAAAATTTAAATTTTTAGTTAATGTTGGAAACTATAAACTAGATTAGAACTTTCTTTCTTATTATCCTATATGATAATCAGGATAACTAGATGGCAACAATAACATCATTATGGAAGTAAAATTTGAAAGTAAATCATATTGGAAATATTTTTTTTAGCAAGATTGTTATTTTGGCAAAAAACTCACTCCTACTCTAAGTACGTAATATATAGATTGATTTCCTTAGACTCCTGTCTGAAATTTCTACTTTATAGCTGGAAAAACATTTTGATGTTATTATGCAGTGCCGTTTGACCTGGCAGACAGATCCTATAAAAGAAAACTGCTGGAGAACCCGTAATAATTAAATTAGTAGTAAATCACGCACACCTTAGAAAGTGGAAAGTAATCCAGCACGCTAATCATGCATATGGTGTCAATTGCAGCTAATCATCAGATGTTTTTGCTTTTTTCTTCTGCAAATTTCCGGTTTTATACTTAAAAGAATGTGAGGTATGAGCTGCACGTGATTTTTTTATATAAGAATATTAGCAGAAATGAGTAGAGGAACTAAAACGGTGCTTTTTTTTATATATAAGATGAAAAATGATCATTTCATCTATAAGTGACCTAAAAAAATACAAAACTAATATGTGAGAGATAAAAAACATCATTTCATATGTTAGATGAGTTGCTCCTGATTTGTCAAAAAAAAAAAAGAATGGATTCTGCTTTTATTCCTTAAACGTCAAAGCTATTGGATGTTATTAATGAACCCATTTATTATTATATTATTATTATTATTATTTGATCAATATAATAATTATTATTATTAGGGTGATGTTATTTACACTCTAAATATGTTATTTGCACTCTCAGTATTCCATTTTCAATTTGATGAGACCGTATAACCCCTACCCTAATTTCTTTTCTTGCCTATGAGAAATTAAGGTAGGGGTAATATGATCTCATCAAAATGAAAATGGAATAGTGAGAGTGCAAATAACAATACCTTATTTTTAAAGTATATATTACCTCGCGTATAAAAATACAGCTAATTGATCACATTATTCAAAATTGCAAACTTAAAACTACTAGTACTTAACCAACAACCAAAATGGCTGTTAGCCACCATCATAGTCTTTAAGAGTTGGTGGGTTGGGAGATCAAGAGTTCAAACATTGCCTTCCACCACTTGTCATCTTATGTGGCTTACCATTTTAAGTGGTTTAAATCCATACGAGTGCACCCACCCGTGTGGTCCGATAATAGTTGTCGGTTCTCCAATAACGGTCCGATGATAGTTTAGTTCCCGTCGGTTCTCCAATAAATTAAATCCACATGTGTGTACACACCCGTCATGTCGTTCGATGATGGTTTAGTTTCCGTCGGTTTTTCAATAGGTCCAGTTGAACCCTCGTATAGGGTAGTCAAGTCACTGAGTGACAAAAAAAAAAAAAAAAGCTTCTGGTACTTGCTTCTACTGGGAAGTGAACTGATAAACAAACTAAAGAAATACTGTAGAAGATTCTATGTTCCTTGGACAATTTAATAGTAATACGCGAAGTCGATGAGAACCCAAGGCAAATATTAGCATGTCTCGATGTTGTAACTAGCCAAACATTGACAGTAATATGATACTCTAATATCTTTCCAAAGCACAAGAAAACATGAACACTAATTACCAGTACATGATAAGATGAAGATTTTGGCTTATACCCGCAAGAACAAGATTATGCAAACGAAATTAAACAAACGATTACATTAACGGATACTCCCATACATTTAGCATAAAATTATGCAAAAGATATTTCCTCAAAGACTGTGGGAGACAACCCTTCCCTTCCACAATGAAAGACAGACACCACAATACGAGAGTTATAGTAGTAAAAAATAAATGAGCAAGTAATCGTTAACCACCAACAGGCAACGGGCAACAGGCAACAACAAATCGATTTAGGTTGACGTTGACACGGTAAGGGTTTCGGCATCACTTGAAACAGTGGGCACACTCTGAAACACTTAGCCAATTCTCTCAATCGGCACCACGGGCAGGTTCTGCCACACCGTGTAGCCGTAACCCCTCTGCGCCGCCCTATAAGCCGCGGTTTCATTGTATTTCTTGCACCAATAAGCAGTCGTGGGGACAATCATTTGAGCCACTTGAGGGAACAGGGGGAGCTGGTTCAGCAAGCGCCAAGCCGACACCGCATACTGCTCAGCTAGGGGCTCGTACTTGAGATAGAATTCCTTGGCTGTAGGCTCGTACGTGTTACAAAGCGTTTGGGCGATGCTTTTAGCGCCGTCCACCAAGCCGGCCCGCTGCAACTCGGAGGCCACCCCTCTAGCCACCTCAGGGGCCTTCTGAGTCGCCGAGAGCAGCTGATGTGAGAATTGCTTCAGCACCGGGGGTACATGACGGTCTAACTCGTTAATCCATTCGTCGACCTGCAAATCACGAGAGTCAACGGTGAGCTGATGATCACGTGAATTGTTAGATGTCTACTGAAGAAGCACGGAACTTCCCCGGACCGAGCTGACCTGATGAGCTCGGCGTGCTGGCGAGAAGAGCGCGTCCTAAGCCTGAAAAGCGAACTAGAAAGTGATCCAATGGGGGAGCCCCGAGGTCGTCCCCGAGAGCACTCCGACGGTCAAGTTAATTTTCCGGTGAGTGAGATCCACGGGAAGTAAAAACGGTCGGGAGTAATTGTCCAATAGTGAGCGTACCTTGTGCAGTTGATGTTTGTTACCATTTATACCTGCTTGGGAGTCCGACCTCCGTACGTTTCGGGACCTGCCCAGAATAGCCTCAATCTCGCACTGAGGGGGATCAATCCCGACCTATGCGGGATTGTCCCCTGGAGCCCCTTGGAGCACTAGCGGCGGAGGGCCGCGGGACGGTTCCCGTGGGCCCGGGGCCTAAGCCCAACTCAGGCCTCCCTGGGCTGCCACGTGTATAGGCCCAGGACGGGGCCTCTGCACTAGCCCCTAGATTAGGTAGGGCTTCCGGGCAAACCTAATCTATATCCCCACCACGTGGGAGCCCAGCGTCGCACTGTTCTGCCGCGGTCACCTCCGGTACAGTGCTGTCATTGGGAAGCCGCGCCCGCGTCCTTTCAGTTGTCGCGTCCCATAGGTCTTCGTACCGCTCTTAAACGCGTTCACATAGGGCGGTTCAAATTCAAGCAACCGTTTCCCCCCATTCTACTCCCTATAAATAGGGATTCCCAAACTTTCTCAGACTCTATTTGCCATTTTTCCTCCCTTCGTGCATTTTTAATTTCCAGCAACAAGACTTCCGGCTTCCAGCACCCAGATTCCGGCGACTCCTTCATCCTTTTTTCCAGCCCACTTACCAGTAAGTCTTCTTTTCCTCCTCCTTCGCATTTTCTTTTCCTTCTTTGCCATTTTCTGCATTTTATGTCGGATCGCTCTGGCGTTACTTCTACCGCCTCCCAAATTCCGGCCCGTCGTAGAGCCCCCAGAATCCTCATTTCTTCTTCATCTTCGTCCTCATCTTCATATTCATCTTCTCCTCCCCTCTCTCTTCTTCCTCTGCTTCTAATCCCAACTTCCTCATCCCTAACTTGTTCGAATCCATTGATATCATGAGCTCTCCATCTGCCCATTCTCCTTCTGTCCGACTCCTGGAGGAGGTGGCCGAGCTCGATGCCCTCATCGAGCAGCAAGCCACTTCCATCCCCTTCCCCAAGTCTCCACATGACTCCCCTGGCGGAGCCCAGGGGGGAGTTGGGGAGGACAGGGACTCCTCCGAGGGGACCCCTGCTTCCGAGCAGGGGGATGATTCTGAGTTCAACTACGGTCACCCCGACCGGGAGGAGGTCACCCTCTCACCCGGAACGGTGGTCGAGCTGGCCGGGTCTTTTTCCATCCCTCCGGCCTTCGAGCCGCGAGCCGCCGGATCCACCGATCGAGCCTGCCGACCTCCCCCTGGCTTTGTAGCCATTTACAGGGAGCAGCTGCTCGCTGGGCTCCGGCTCCCCATTCCTCTAGCCTTGGCGGAGATCCTGAGCTACTGGGGGCTCCGGATCACCCAAGTCCATCTCAACTCGATCAGGATCATCATTGGATTCCTGATCTACTGCCAAATCTGTTCCATCCCCTACTCACTTTCCCTCTTCCGGGCCTCTTACATCCTCAAGCTCTCCCTCCCTGGGTGGTACTACTTCTCCCGCCGAGGGGCTAGCCAAGTTCGGGGGGGAAAGGGCACCCAGGATCTACTCTTTGGGGTCCCTTCTTCCATAAAAAATTGGAAGGGGGACTTCCTCTTTGTAAAATCCACGAGCTTAGGGGCACCCAGGACTGTACTGTACCGCCCAAGCCCAAGTAAGCCCCTTTCCGCTTAGGCCCCTTGGGTTCCTGTTCTTTCCCTTGATGAAGTGCTCATGTTTACTTTCCTTTCCTTAGGCTAACGCCGCCGGTGCTGCCCTGGTGACCCGCTTCTCCGAGCTGTCTCCCAATTTGGAGAAGTTACAGAAGAAGCATCGGGAGACCGAGCAGAAGCTTGCCCAGGCCCTTAAGGTGGCGGACTCCCTTAAGGCCAAACTGGGCAAGGCCGAGAAGGGGCTGGAGGAGGCCCAAGTCCAGCTTGCCGCCACCCGGTCCGAGCTGGATCAGGAGAAGAAGGGCGTGGCGAAACTGAGGGAGGACCACGCCATTGAGCTCTCCGGCACCATCAGTCGGGAGCGCAAGAAGGCTGTTCGGAATTTCATCTCCTCTGATCAGTTCGCCGTGGACGTGGCCCTCCTCAACCAGCCCATCCTCCAGGTTGGCGTCACGGGGGCCCTGGACCAGGTGAAGAGCCTCAACCTGCCCGGCTTCAACTTGGCTGGCTTCAAGGATTACAACCCCGCTGGGCTGGCTCTTCGATGGGTACTGCAGAGGGCATGCCCTGAAGGACCTGGTGGGCAGGAGCGATGTAGGGGCCGAGCTGGCGGAGCTCCCGCTGGAGGAGGAGGAGACCCCTGGCAGGGCTTCTGGGAAGGAGCCAGTGGCTTAAGGCAGCGACCACTCCAGAAACCCTTTCCATCCTCTTATAAGGATGTGGTCATGCCCCGCAGTTCATGATCTCCACAGATCCTTTTTAACAGCCTTCTCCATACGTCTCTCAACATGCTTAAGGTGTACCTTCAGCTCCCGCCTCAAGCAGGTCGCCAGCAAGAAGAAGGCATGGCCTTCACCATATGCCTCTCAACATGTTTAAGGTGTACCTTCAGCTCCCGCCTCAAGCAGGTTGCCAGCAAGAAGAAAGCATAGCTAGATTTTCCTTTCCTTGTATAGCTCGGTAGGCTTTGTAATAGATAGGGTCTGAATGCATATATGAGATGAAGTTTGAATGAAACTATCTGTTTTGACCTTCAATTCCTAGTTAGCGGCGAACTCTAGTAACCGAAGAGGAACACCGACTTCCCGGGTCGAGCACCAAATAGGTCCACCAAGGCGGCGTGCCGACCTCTTGGGTCGAGCATCTATCGCCCTTTAAGCTAACGGCTAAGTCGTCAGGGACACCAAACCATCAAACCGTCAGGCTGATTTAGCAGTTGAATTCTAATAACCGGAGTGACGCGCCGACCTCCTGGGTCGAACACCAAACCCCTAAGCTTTAAGTTACGCCGACCCCCTGGGTCGAACGTCAAACCTGATTTACTGAAGCAGTGTGCCGGCCTCTTGGGTCGAGCATCCGCCTAACTGTAGGCTAACAACCAATTTGCCAAAGGACGACAAACTGGGGTCCCTTCAGACGACCAAGCTAAACTAATACCCAAATTCCAACGACCTGGGCGGTGTGCCGACCTCCTGGGTCGAGCCCCGGACCCAAGGCTCTTTTTAAGCTGCGCCGACCTCCTGGGTCGAGCGGCAAAATTGTAAAGCCAGTCCTGCCGACTTCCTGGGTCGAGCATCAATTCTCAAACTCCAAAGGCCTTCCCTTGATTCATCATCTGAATTCGTCCCTTAGCCGCCGACCTCCTGGGTCGAGCGCCAAAATTTGAAAGACAATCGCGCCGACCTCTTGGGTCGAGCGCCGATTTCTCGGATTTGGAGGGCATTCCATCCGTTAGCATTCAAGCCGGCCTCTTGGGTCGAGCGTCAAATTTGAAGGCAATCATGCCGACCTCCTGGGTCGAGCGTCGATTTCGTCAAAATTTTAAAAATAATCATGCCGACCCTCCTGGGTCGAGCGTCGATCCCTCAGGGCCCCCCACTAAGACACTTAGCATTATCTGAGTGTGTTAGTATAGAAGTGAAAAGTTAAACGGCATTGATAATGAGAAGGGATTTAAAACGTGAAAACAGAGCATTTATTTAATGAAAATCTGGTACGAAAATTCCAAAGAATACAGTAAGATATTCTGCACCAATCTATCCTACGAACAACCGTAAATTCGAGAAGTGCCAGGTGCGGGGTACCTCTACTCCGTCTAGTTTCGTAAGCTTACAGTACCCAACCCGACTTGTCTCTAAGACCTTGTACAGCCCTTCCCAGTTTGGATCAAGCTTATTGGAGCTATGAGCTCAGCTAACCGAATTCTTCCTCAGGACGAAGTCTCCTGGCTGGTACTGCCTATTCCTCACCCTTGCGTTATAATAGCGAGCGAGCTGGCTCTTGTACTTACCCATCCGTATTGCCGCTTCCTCACGCTTGGCCTCTAGCATGTCCCAGTTGCACCTCAGGTCCTCTTCGTTAACTGACGCGACAAAGTTCTGTGTCCGAAACGAGGGGAGACCGACTTCCGCGGGTACCACCGCCTCCGCCCCGTAAGTCAAGGAGAACGGGGTCTCATGAGTGGCTGTCCTTGGCGTAGTGCGGTAAGCCCAGAGGACGCTAGGGAGTTCATCTAGCCAGTTAGACTGGGCTAGTTCCAACCTAGTCTTAAACCCTTGCAGAATGGTTCGATTAGCATTCTCTACCTGACCGTTGGCCTGGGGATGTCCGATCGAGGTGAAGTGTTGGCAAATTCCGAGCTCGGCGAACCAGCTCCTGAAGGGATTTTCAGCAAACTGTCACCCGTTATCGGATATCAAGACATGCGGGATCCCGAAGCGGCAGACTATGTTCCTCCAGAAGAACTTTTGAATCGCCCTTCCAGAGATAGTGGCCAGGGGTTCGGCCTCCATCCACTTTGTGAAATAGTCTATGGCCACCACGAGATGTTCGTACCTTCCAGGAGCTCAGGGGAAGGGACCCAGGAGGTCAATCCCCCACTGGGCAAAAGGCCAAGGGTTATGGATGGGGACCATCTCCCGAGTGGGATCATTTGTTAGTAATTTTATTATTAATTTCCCCTTTTATCCCTGCCAAATATTGTGTTAATTGCTGATATTTACTTATATTTGGTACCATGACTTAATTTCAGGAATGAAACAGAAAACTACCAAAGAGGAGGGATTTCATGGAGAATATGGAGACTTCTAAGGGCTTCAATCCT